GCTGACGTTCGAGGAGGGCGGGCGGGGCCGGGTCGAGGCCGATCCGCTGTCGCACGGCGATGTGGTGCTCGCGCGGAAGGACGCACCGGCTTCCTATCATCTTGCGTCACGATCGACGATGCGGCGCAGCGGGTTCACCGATATCGTCCGCGGCGAGGACCTGTTCGCGGCGACCCATGTCCCCCGGGCCCTGCTGCAGGCGCTGCTGGGCCCTGCCCGTGCCGCGTTACCACCACCATGCCTTGCTTACCGGCGCGGACGGCAAAACGGCTGGCCAAGGGGCACGGCGCCCCTACCCTTCCCGGCGCTGCGCGAAGCGGGCGAGGACGGGCGGGGTTGGCGGAGACCCCTGCGCCGGGGCGAACTCCCGATTGGATTCGCCGCGGCAAAGGCCTAGAGTCACATTCATGAAACTGTTCCTCATCCTGCTCCTGATCGCGGCGATGATCGCGACCGTGGTCGCCTGGTCCGCGGCATCATCACCTTCCTCCGCGTCACGAGGCGGATCTGAAGGGCGGCAACGGCCCGAGCGCATCGGCGCTCAAGTCGAACAAGATGATGCAGCAGCGTATCCTTTTCCCGGGGTATCGCGATCGCGATTCGTCGGGGTCCTGCTGTTGATGGCGAGCAGCGGCTAGAGCCTTCATTCAAAGCGGCCCCGGGCCGCTCCCCCGCCCGGCCGCCCATAGGAAAAGGGCGCTGGGTGGCCGGGGGGGGGAGGGGCCGGTGGGGAAACCCAGCAAATGGTCAAGCTCAACAAGATCTACACCCGCACCGGCGACGACGGCACCACCGGGCTTGTCGATGGATCGCGCGTCGCCAAGCACGATCCGCGCATGGCGGCGATCGGCGATGTCGACGAGGCGAACAGCGCGATCGGAGTCGCGATCGCGGCGATCGGCGGCGGCTATCCCGCCGATCTGCTCGAAACCGTGCAAAACGACCTGTTCGACCTGGGCGCCGACCTGGCGACGCCAGGCGAGGATTTCGCCCCGGACGAAATGACGCTGCGCATCGTTCCCGCGCAGGTGACGCGGATCGAGGCTGCGATCGACGAGGCCAATGCCGGGCTCGAACCGCTGCGCAGCTTCATCCTGCCCGGCGGATCGGAGCGCTCGGCGGCGATCCACCTTGCCCGCGCGGTCACACGCCGGGCCGAGCGCACCGCCGTCGCGGCATCGCGCGAGGTTTCGCTGAACCCGCAGGCGCTGGCCTATCTCAACCGGCTGTCGGACCTGTTGTTCGTGCTGGCGCGGGCGGCGAACCTCAACCGCGGCGGCGACGTGCTGTGGAAGCCGGGCGCGAACCGTTAAGTTCTGGAATTTCCGGAGGAAGGGCTGGAGCGGGTAACGGGAATCGAACCCGTGTATTCAGCTTGGAAGGCTGCTGTACTACCATTGTACTATACCCGCCCATGGAGCGCAGCATATCCGCGAGGGAGATGGTGGAAGGGACTGGATTCGAACCAGTGTACGCTCACGCGGCAGATTTACAGTCTGCTCCCTTTAACCACTCGGCCACCCTTCCATGCGGCACGCCGAAGCGAGTGCGGCCCATTGCCGAAGCGCGCCGCCCCTGTCAACGCCTTGCGCGGGAGATTTGTGCCGCCTAGCGTCTCGCGATGAGCAAGGGACCACGTCGCGGCATCGCCCATCGGGCAATTCGGGCAGTAGCAACCGCCCCCGTTTCTGGGGCCGCCACGCCGTGACCGCGGCGCTGGCCAATCCGGAGCGGACGGTGCGCAAGGTGTGGGGCACGCGCGAGGCGCTGGCGGCGCTCGACCTGCCGCCGGTGCTGCCGATCACCTATGCCGATGTCGCCGACCTCGCCCGGATGGTACCCAGCGACGCGCCGCATCAGGGCCTCGTGATCGAGGTCGACCCGCTCGAGGAAATCTGGCTGGGCGACCTGCTCGAATCGGGCGCCGACGACCGGCGCCCGCTGCTGGTGCTCGATCACGTCACCGATCCGCACAATGTCGGCGCGATCCTGCGCTCGGCCGCGGCGTTCGACGCGCTGGGGATCGTGACGCAGGACCGGCACGCGCCGCCCGAATCGGGATCGCTGGCCCGCTCCGCATCGGGCGCGCTCGAGCTGGTGCCCTGGGTACGCGTGGTGAACCTTGCCCGCGCGCTCGACGAGATCGGCGAAGCCGGTTTCTGGCGCATCGGCCTGGCGGGCGAGGCGAAGGGCACGCTCGCCGAGGTGATGGGCGATACCGGCCGGCGCTCGTGCTCGGCGCCGAGGGGGAAGGCATGCGCCACAACACCGCGCAGCATTGCGACGAGCTTGCGCGGCTGCCGATCTCGCCCAGGGTCGAGAGCCTGAATGTATCCAACGCCGCCGCGATCGCGCTGTACGCCGCGGTCTCGCGCTGAGAGGGGAAAGCGATGTTCGAACGAATCAAGGGCATCGCGCTGGTGCTGGTCGCCCCGCTGGTGCTGGTGGGGTGCGCGTTCAGTCCGGGCAAGTTCACCTCCTCGCTCACCCTGCTTGCCGACCGCAGCTTCACCTTCAGCTATCAGGGCGAGGTGATCGCCGTCGACTTCGCCAGCGAGATGGCAAGGGCATGGGCGATGCGTTCAAGGACGACGACGAGGATAAGAAGGAAGGCACCAGCACGACCGCGATGCTGCGCGCGGCGACCTGGCAGGACAAGGATGCCGCGAACGAAGCCAAGCCGGGCGGCGAGGACGATTCCGTCGAGGACGAGCCAAGAAGGAAGCCAAGTTCAAGGCGATCGGCGAAGCGCTGACCAAGGAAGCCGGCTACCGATCGTCACCTACAAGGGCAAGGGCGTGTTCCTGATCGACTATCAGATCAGCGGCAAGCTGACCCACAATTTCCTGTGGCCGTACAATATCGACGCCGAGGTGATCTTCCCCTTCGTGGTGGTCGAGATGCGGGGCAAGGACCAAATACGGGTCAAGGCACCCGCGTTCGGCGACGATGATTCGCCCGCCAAGGGCAAGGGCGACGACAGCAAGGCCAAGCTCGACGGCACCTTCACCCTCGTCACCGACGGCGAGCTGGTGAGCCAGAACAACGAGGATGGCGCGACCAGCGCGAACGGCCGCAAGACCGTGGTCTGGAAGGCGACCCCGCTGAGCAAGGATGCACCGATGGCGGTGGTCAAGGTCGCGCCGCTGCCCTGAGGGCGAAGTTCACGAAGGTACGGGAAACGCGATTCATTCTGTCAATTTCGTCGCCTTTGTCCGGCGGGGTCAGGCCAGGCGGATCGACGCGACCAAAGAGCGGCCGCGAGCGGCAGAACGACGCAAGCAAATGAAATCCAACATTGCAAGCGGCGGTTATGGGGGGGAAGCGGACCTTAGCCCGCAAGGCTAAGGAGAGCACCGAATAAGCGACCATCAAGACCAACGGAGCGACCGAGAACGTCATTCGACGCATGCCTCCTATGGCGAGATAACGGCGGAATAGCAGAAGCGGAATCCAAACGAGCGAAACGGCTAGCGCGCTAAGGAACCATCCGGACTTAAAATGCGCTGCTTCTATGGCTCCAAAATGCGGGAGCAGAACTAGCATATAGAACGCCGAGACCGTGGCGGCGGTAATGCGTGCGATAGACGCAGCCTTGGACATTCCTGGCTCCCCATGAACGCCGGCGAGCTTAATCCATCCATCTAGGTCGGCAATGGCGGTCCTTAGCGGTCGTTCCCTCGCTCCGTCTTCCATTGCATCGCACGAGGCGCCGCGGATCCCGGCACAAGGCCGGGATGACGGATGGTTTGCGATGATCGCGATCCGCCAGGGCCTTCGCGCCCCCTGACGGCCCCGCCCGCGATCAATCCTCGGCGGCGATCGTCACCTTGAGGCCGTCGAGCGCGCTGGTGAACTGGATCTGGCACGACAGGCGCGAGCGGTCGTCGCGGTCCGACGAGCTGTCGAGCAGGGTCGTTCTCGTCCTCGCTCATCGGCGTCAGTTTGTCCGCAAATTCCGGATCGACATGGACGTGGCAGGTCGCGCACGAGCAGCAGCCGCCGCACAAGGCGAGCAGTTCGTCGAACCCATTGTCCCGGATCACTTCCATGACGCTAAGGCCCACCTCGCCCTCGACTTCGCGTTCTTCTCCTTCACGCGTGACGACGATAAGCTTGGGCATCGGATTCTCCTGTCTATGTCGCGCCAATGCGGGGAACGTCCCGGCTTTCAAGTTTCACGCTTCAAAGGTTTCGCCTGATGGGCCTTAGCGCCGAACAGCTTCGCACTTCGCGGATACGCTGGGCGTGTCCGAACCCCTCATCGCGGCAGCGGTACCCGGGTGGGCTATCCCGAGCCGCGCATCCGCGACCGCGGCTATGAGACGCTGCTGCGCACCATCGTCGGCCAGCAGGTGAGCGTCGCGGCGGCAGTATCGATCTGGACCAAGCTCGGCGCCGCGCTGGGCGACCTGACCAGCCCCGAGATTCGTCGCCGCCGCGTCCGACGACGCGCTGCGCGCCGCCGGCCTCTCGCGGCAAAAGGCAAGCTATGCCCGCAGCCTCGCCGAGGAGGTGACGAGCGGACGGCTCGACCTTGGCAACCTGCCCGCCGACGACGAGGAAGCCATCGTGCAGCTGACCCGGATCTAGGGCATCGGCCGCTGGTCGGCGGAAATCTATCTGCTGTTCGCCGAGGGACGGCCCGACATCTGGCCCGCCGGCGACCTTGCCGTGCAGATCGAGGTGGGAAGGATCATGGGCCATGCCGAGCGGCCTTCGGAGAAGCTGACCCGCGAGATCGCCGAACCCTGGCGCCGCATCGCGGCGCCGCGGCGATCCTGGCCTGGCATCACTACAAGGCCGACATGGACGTCATCTAGCACATCTAGGGCTGGCGCCCCTGCCCGTCCCTTGCCAAAGAGCGCGGGACAGCAAGGAGGCCTGACCCCATGAAGACCCGCGCCGCCGTCGCGTTCGAAGCCAAGAAGCCATTGGAGATCGTCGAGGTCGACCTCGAAGGGCCCAAGGCCGGCGAGGTGGTGGTCGAGATCAAGGCGACGGGGGTCTGCCACACCGACGCCTATACGCTCGACGGGTTCGACAGCGAGGGGATCTTCCCCTCGGTACTGGGGCATGAGGGCGCGGGCGTGGTGCGCGAAGTCGGCGCGAGCGTCACCAGCCTGAAGCCGGGCGACCATGTCATCCCGCTCTACACGCCCGAATGCCGCCAGTGTAAATCGTGTCTGTCCGGTCAAGACCAATCTGTGCACCGCGATCCGCGCGACGCAGGGCAAGGGGCTGATGCCCGACGGCACCACGCGCTTCAGTTACAAGGGGCAGCCGATCTTCCATTATATGGGCTGCTCGACCTTCTCGAACTTTACCGTGCTGCCCGAGATCGCACTCGCGAAGATCCGCGAGGACGCGCCGTTCCAGACCAGCTGCTATATCGGCTGCGGCGTCACCACCGGGGTCGGCGCGGTGGTCAACACCGCCAAGGTCCAGGTCGGCGAGACGGTCGTGGTGTTCGGTCTTGGCGGGATCGGCCTCAACGTCATCCAGGGCGCGAAGATGGTCGGTGCGGACGTGATCGTCGGCGTCGACATCAACCCCGATCGCGAGGAATGGGGCCGCAAGTTCGGCATGACCCACTTCATCAATGGCAAAGGCAAGAGCCGCGAGGACGTGATCGCCGAAGTGCTGGCGCTGACCGATGGCGGCGCCGACTACAGCTTCGACGCGACCGGCAATACCGAAGTCATGCGCACCGCCCTGGAATGCTGCCATCGCGGCTGGGGCCGCAGCATCATCATCGGCGTGGCCGAGGCGGGCGCGGAAATCAGCACGCGCCCCTTCCAGTTGGTGACGGGCCGCAACTGGCGCGGCACGGCCTTTGGCGGGGCCAAGGGCCGCACCGACGTGCCCAAGATCGTCGACTGGTACATGGACGGCAAGATCGAGATCGACCGATGATCACGCATGTGTTGAGCCTCGAGGACATCAACAAGGGGTTCGACCTGATGCATGCGGGCGAGAGCACCCGCAGCGTCGTCGTCTACTGACCAAGAAGGAGGGGAGCCATGTTCAGTCACGTCATGCTCGGCGCCAACAACGTCGAGGAATCCAAGGCATTTTACGACGCCACGCTTGGCGCGCTGGGTGCCCGCCGGGTCGCACCGATCCCAAGGGGCGCGCCTTCTACATGCATAATGGCGGCGTCTTCATGCTGAGCAACCCGATCGACGGCCAGCCCCATGCCACGCCAATGGCGGCACCGTCGGCTTTGCCGCGAACGGGCCAGAGGCCGTCGATGCGTGGCACGCCGCGGGGCTGGCCCATGGCGGCACCGCGATCGAGGATCCGCCGGGTATTCGCGAGGGCGCGTTCGGAAAGCTGTACCTGGCGTATCTCCGCGATCCGGCCGGGAACAAGGTGTGCGCCATGACCGGATGCCTGCGTGAACCAAGCGAGCTGGATCCTCACCCTCACCTGCGTCGACCGGGTGGGGATCGTCGCGGGCGTGACCGGGTTCCTGGCGCGGAACGACGGCTTCATCCTGGACAGCCAGCAATATGCCGATCTGG